TCTGCAATGAATATAAATTTTTGTTGTAAATTTTTCTGAATAATAGGAATATTGAATGATTGATTAAATTTGATTGAAGAAATTTTTTATATTGTTAGCGAGTATTTTGTTTGTATTTTTTTACATAGAATATAAAATTTTATTATTATTTTTTCTGATCATGGGGACGTAAAGGCATTGAATAATTCGCGAATTTCCAACAATTAGTAAGTAGAATATTTTCCAGCGATTCATAAAAAAATATTTCCATTCAGGATTCTAAGATAAATAATAAAATATTAAAAACTGGATTTTCATAGAGATATTTTATATTTTTTAAAACGATTGAATCGATCGTATGACGAGCAGGGACGAATTGAGGGCGATTTTAAAAAGTAAAGGTGCTTTATATCGCGTGTATGTCTTATCATCACGATTTGAGAGCATAATACAGGGTGTCTCATAAACAGCACTACGATAAAAAGTTCAAATATCTCCACTTCAGTTCAATTAAATGGGCTAAATTTTTGGCTAATCGGAGAGCTTTGTTCAAAATATTTTTTTTCATACGGATAATGTAAGCAAACACTTCTATTAATTATTATTGTTGACCTCACTAAAGAAATTTTATCTGTTATCACGTAAGAAAAATGTATATGAAGGCTTTCATAGATAATTTTTAGTTGTTACCTAAGAGAGCAACAAGTAGAAATCAAAATAAGTTTTATAAGTGGTATAGCATTGATGCAAATAGACCAAATTTTCAAGCACGGAACACTGGCTTTGTCGAAGAAATTGATGATTCAATCTCCAAAGGACTTTAATTGTGCGTTTCACTTTTCAGATACGACTTATGGCGTTTAAAAATGCTAGTTATGAAAATTTGGTCTATTTGCATCAATGCTATATCACTTATAAAACTTATTTTGATTTCTTCTTGTTGCTTTCTTAGATAACAACTAAAAACTATCTATGAAACTCTTCATATATATTTTTCTTACATGATAACAGATAAAATTTCTTTAGTGAATTCAACGATAATACTTAATAGAAGTGTTTGCTTACATTATCCGTATGAAAAAAAATATTTTGAATAAAGCTCTATCATTAGCCAAAAAATTAGCCCATTTGATTGAACTGTAGTGAAGAGATTTGAATTTTTTATCGTAGTGCTATTTATGGGACACCCTGTAAATGATTATAAGTACTAATGAAATTGAAACTTAATTTTCTCTAAATATTACAATCAAAGATATATGACACATAACGGTGCCTATAGAAAAATTAAGCATTTAGTGGATGCCATTGAATCGAGGGTAGGTATGGGTGAGCGTGTCGGTGTTGGCAGTGGCTTCTCTCACATCCACATCCGTACCCACACCCACACTCACACCGACACCCACACTCCACACTCACATCCTAGTTTTCTCCATTTTTCTTCTTGAAATAACAAGAGACAAGCAAGAGAGATGAGAGCATTATAGGGTACTTGGATAGTCCTCACATACAAATATCAATAGTAGATCAATATCATTCCTTGCTGAAATAAAATAAATGTTTTTGTATGTATATATAAGGAGGGTCGGTAATTGTTTTATACCGCATGTAACATCAAAGTGATCAGAAGACTTATATTTATATTATGCTATATATCATCATTGTTTTTGCAGTTTTACCTTGAATTAAAGCTAGGGATGTGCAGTTTCAGTATACTGACCAGCGACAAAGTCACACTGACGTTCGTCGGCGCAGTGACTACACTGACACTGACTGCACCGACACTGATGTTCACTGCACTATAAAAGTGTGCAGTTAGAGCACGAGTTTATTATTTTACCCTTTTTTATACAGAGCAGTGCTGTCAGTGTCAGTGTAGTCAGTGCGCTCAGTACGGTGATATCACTGCGGTATTTCAGTATTTGCACTGAAACTGCACATTCCTAAGTAAAGCGTGTAAAATGTTTGGTGCTTTGTCAATTTAGTTTGAATAAGAGTAACTCGGCATGTCGACAGGCTATACGGTTTATTATCAGGTAACACCTGTTTTTACACAATCATATCCGTCAAATAATCAGCCAATTCTGATTGTTCGAAACTAGAACAAAGATGTTCAACACGAGTGTCATTTTTTACTTTGATTACTAACATGTGGACTATGGACACCATGCTGGATAGCAACTTACTTACGATGTGGTAAATGATTCACCTTGATTCTTTGTCAGAACTCAAAATATGATGAGAATTTAAGCTATATTTTCGATATTTTAGGTTGTAAACAGCCTTATTAATTCGAATGCAACTCACAATTGACAACAATATTTTTCGATTTATGAACTATAATACTTTTTATTGCCTTAATAATAGAAAGATATACATTAATTCAGACCAATAAAGCACTGAAGAAAGAATGACTCTTTTTTTAATAAACATCTTATACTAGAGTTCCTCACAATACCTTTTCCACTTTATCTGAGCACAACGGTAAACATAAACAGAGTTCACCGTTGAGACTTGCTTGATCCTCGACTGAATATTTGGTTGGATGTGTAGGTGTGAGTGTGGATTTAGCGCAGATATATATCCACACACCCACACCCTTTTCAATGCTTCGCAATTAAAATGAAAGCATTCGGAGCGCTTTAAACTGTTGTGGAAGAAAACAATCAATCAGCTAGTAATGAAGAAATTTTCTTTAGCTATCAAAGAATAGCTTGTAGTGCCACAGAAACATCGTTTTCATCACCTTATCACTCTATCATCTCAGTGCGTCTATGGCTGGAAGATTCCATCATCGATGCGAATAACATCGATGACAGCAACACATCATTTTCTCTACCTTCACGGTAAGTTGACCTGATCGTTTTGTTGGCAGAAGTGCGTCCGTCCAGATCTGAATCACAAATAACACTTTCAAATTTATGCACAAAAATGAATCTTTCACTTTTCTTCGCAATCAAACTGACCAAGATGATCGTTGATATTCTTGGCAGATGTCTTAGTTTCATTTGATGCCATGGAAAAAGACATTGTCCAACATTAATCATAGTATCTCGTCTCTTTTTGCCTCAAAGAAACCAATTTTCGAATGTGTATCAAGAGTACAAAGATTTCAATTCGTTGTTTTCAATTCAAATAATTCTCTTTTAGAGACCGTGGATTTTCTGCACAATTGATCCTCTTTTTTCAGAAGTTTCGATCATTTAGAGACATTCATTGATCTTTTAAATTACATCATTCTCAGAAAATGATGTCATCAATATTGAAATATGACGATAAGAAAAAACAGCAAAGTATCGTTTGCTTGACGTGTAGGTGTGGAGAAAAAACCTCAGCTGACCAAGGTGCAGTTAGATTTTCAATATCGATCAACAATTCTTCAAGTTTCACTTGTGAGACAATCAAAAGTTCAAATGCAGCGAATATGTTTTTTGTCGAAATCAAGATTTATATCGACATCGTTTGCATGATTCGGAAAGTCATTGAAAAAAAATCATTGATGAAACACTCAAACAAGAAAATATTTTCCACTTTTTCGAATCGAGTCAATAATCAAAAAAAAAAAACAGCTATTGTCAAACGACAAAAAGAACATTTTCACAAAGTTCAAAAATCAGTTCGGCAAAAAAAAAGCTTTTTGTTAACATTGATGGAATGTTCAGATCAATTCTTTTTCCCCTTACATTCGAATTGATACTTGTCGACAAAAGGATTGTAACTAAAATGATAATTCTATAAAAATTCATTTCATTCTTTAATTCCTGATTTTGTTTGAAAAAGCATTGAACACGTATAGAGGAAACAGTTCATTTCGATTCGTAAATGTTCTAAATTAATTTTCATATCGATAAAAACATTGATGAAAACAAACTATCACATTGAAAAAATCAATCAAATATTGTATAATTTCAAATAGTAACAACAATATATTTACTGATTAACAGAGTCAAAACTCTGATTTCGAACATTAGTATAAAATTTTTCAATAAATTCAATTTGATATGTCGCACAAATATTGCTCATCTAAGATCAGTTATTTACAATTTGTTCATTCAGTTTTTAATATAAGATAAGAAACATGATTAATATGTATACAAGAAAATGTTTTTTTCACAAAAAATAAAATAATTTCAACATTTAAACACTTAATAAATCATATGTAATGTTCTAAAAGAAGCCAGAGACTTCACTTTTTCCTCCACATCGTTCACATGGTAAGCTGACACCATAAGTACCTAGAAAAAATCAACATTGTTTAATATATTCGAGTAAAGATCTTTTTTTTTCTTAAATACATACATTTATTACATTTATCACAATGCCATTCTCGCCAATCCATACATTTTTGACATATTATACAATGCCAATTACAATCTTCTTCAAAAACATCATTTTCACAAAATGAATAATAATACATTGTCGTATCATTTGATAGAAGCATTCGAAATAATTCTTGTGTATGAGATAATTTTTCATTTTTATCAATTGTATTCCATTTTTCTGTCCATTCTTCGAAATCTTCATCATCCAATACGTTTGAATAGCTAAAAATTTAAATATAACATGAGTATTAATGTAGAAAAACGGAGTGAAAGAGTAATTAACTAAGTAAATTATTTACCTAGGACATTTCATGATACGTCGGCGTAATTTATTACGATCGATCATTTGAAATTCATCTGAATTTTTAACATTTTTAACGAGCCATTTTGAAAAACAAGGATTGGCAGTACATTTTTGATTTTCACCGAAAAAATATTCAAGATGATTAAACATGTTTTGACAAGATGAACCACATCCACATGATGAATTACATCCACTACCATATTTAAAACAAGAACAAGAACGTTTTGAACATCCTTTAGTACATTTACATTTGTCTTTTTTTTCATAATTTGGATTTTTTTCTGTTATTTTTCCATTCATTGGACCTATATTTTTTTGTTCATCGTCATCTGAATCTTCATCATACCACATCGTTAATATTGTATTTTAATTATACAATCGATAAATAAAGTTTTCTAAAATAAAAAGACTAATTGAAAACATGAAATTTAGTTATTTGAAAGTATTAGTTCGTTAGATAACAAATATAAAATGATTTTTCTTCTTTTTCTCTCCTTTTTGAACTTCTTATATATATGATTTGGTATAATATAGACAGTCAATTAGAATATTTAGAGAAAATTAATCGAATCTAATTTTGTATGACATTCATGAGCATAATATGTTATTTACATTGTTTTATTTCAACAGGTACCTAATAAAACAGGTGAATCTTTGAAACGAAACATGTTTTTAGACTTCGTTCCTTGTTATTGAGAGATGACGCTATGGAATGGTCTTAAAATTCATACATAACCAGTTATATAATTCAAAGTATGTTTACTACAAGAAGAAGTTCATTTTTTAATTTTCTCATCACAAGTTAAATGTACGATTAAATTTTTTCTAAAGTTCTTTTGAAAAAAAAGTGTAGTTTATATCTAGTTCTCGTCCGTAAAAAAAGAAAACGATAAATAAACTTCCTACGTCGGAAAATCTACACCAATTTTGTATAGTACAATGAACTAAGGCTGAAATGTACTTCTACTTTACTACAGTTTAGTTAGAATACATGCATTTATTTGATGAAAGCTAAAAGTCATTCGTTTGGCCTCATTCTGTTCCTAATAAATCAATTTTCAAGCGGTGATATTTTCATCAATGATGGCAGAATTATCGAGTTGTTGAAGACTCCGTCGAACTAGTCATAACAACGTGATCTCTACTGTGTACATATAACCAATATTTTATAAGACATACATACTGTGAAATCATGTATCCCTCTAATCTAAACTTAAAAGCAATCAAAAGCAGACAATTTGGTTTATTATGGAATATGATTTATTTAAAATAAGCAATTATGTGAACAAGCATGTCTTTTGCAGCAGATGTCATATGGAATTAGATATGATTTCGAACGGTTCTATTAGATTCTAGAAAAATTACATCATTAATTAAATATGTTCGAGTAGAATGTCTGGTTCATAGTTGTTTCCAAATACTTTCGAGTAAAGTCTCGAGGTTTTTCGGATCTTTGCCAAGTTTTTCGATGATAATTGTGCGAGCCTTTTGTGCGACACCGTGCCACATGGATTCAAACGCATCAAAACGAGTCTCAAGTGCAATTAGTAAAATAGGTGAGATGAGTACTGGTACATTAGTATGTATTGATTGAAGATCTGCTAGAGATTTTCCATTTAAATGTCGAATGGATTCAGCATCTAAATGCCAAAGATCAATAAAGTTTTACTTATCGATCAAGTGACGAACGATATTTTGATTGTTCAATGCCATTCTCATGAGTTGGACTTGGTTGAAACATTTCTTGTGTGCTTATTAAAGCAGTTAAGAAAGTGATCTTACCGATTCGGTCGTGAGCGCGATCTTGACCTTGATCTTCGTCTTGACGATCGCATTCCACATTGATCTTCAGGTGACCCCCCACTTATATGATAGTGAATCATATAATGGTGTGGATGTGGGTGCGAGTCTCCTACTAATGGACACAACACCCACGCCCTCATCCACACCCTCACTCACACTCTCATCCACACCTTCACCGACACCTTGCATCTAACTCAATTCGATTTAGATTCAACTCAAGCAGTATAGCGAATCGCGACAAGAAAAGCCGAATATGGTGCTAACTCTGTCGACTTAAAACTAAAAATAATTTATTTAATTCACAGAAAGAAACCAAGTTTACTCTCGTTCACTTATTAATATCTTTTTCTAACCAAAAAAAGATCTTATTAACTTTCCCTCTATTATTCTCAAACAAAATTCAACTCTGCATCAAAATTTCTTTCTGTCTTTTCCATACGACAACAAAAACTAAAAACCATATTCAAATGTATTTTCCTTTCTCTAAAAATAATACAAAAACAAACTCATTCTTTTCTGGTATTAAAACTAAAATAAAAAACTTCAAAAACAAACCTAATTTCCTCTTTAAAATCAATAATTTTCTGTTCTAACAAATTCTCGTACACTAATACGTTTTCTCTTTCTTTTTTCAAGACGATAAAGTCGATGGAACTATTTCTTAAATTTCTTACTTAAAATAAATTCATTTACTCATTCATATTTAAAAAAACTTTTCTCCATCTGTTTAAATTTCTTACTCAATATTTCTGTTTTTTGCTTAAATTACTTATTCAATATCTTTGGTATTTTCCTTGTTTTTTGGCAAATATCTTATTTAATCTAATTTTTATTTTTCGCTCAACTCTTTCAAATACAGTCAAGCTTATTTTTTCTCACCAAAAACATTTTTAAAAAAAAGAGTTCTTATCATTTCGTAACTTTTTCCACTCATAGAAAACTAGTTTATTTCATTTACATTTTTGGGATATAATAAAAAATATTAAAAAACAATCTCAAAATTTAAAAAATATGCGAAAAAAACTAAAGTAAATTAAGAAAGTTTATACAAAAAAACAAAGTTTATTCATTTTCTCTTTAATATATCTATTTACCTATTTATTTATTGTTCGGTTCTTGTTCTTTTTCTTTACAACAGTGTTAATTCCCATTTAAATCTAAACCCACACCCATATTACATATAAACTGCTTTCTGTTTTTAAAGCAAAAATACAATTTAGTAAGGTATATAATTAGATTTCTTTTTGTAAAATTAATCAATTAATCCCTTTATTACATATGTTATGGAAGAAAATGATGTTTATATCGCTAATTAACAGAATATCTCAAAGTTTGCAACATGTTTGATAAACTATAGATGGAATATTTCCGATAGCAAAAACATTTTTCTTCACTTTTGTAAGGTTAAGCCTTCCTCATGCGATGGAGACCGATGATACCCTTGTCGATAACGTCTTTTTAGAACACGATATCGAAAACCAGATATTTTAATTTAGAAAATAGCCCATCCGGTTACTGGAAGATGCAGATTCGATTCTTGTTCTGACCCTATGATTTTTTTAATTCTATCTTTCGTAGTGAGTATAGCTTGTCGACGATAGAGAATACTCGACTAATTTATATCAATATCGAATCATTGGCAAGTCAAATGAAAACAGAAAATTCTTTTTTCAGAATTTCTTTTCTGCTTTTTCGTATCAGATATATATGATAAACTTACCTCTCATCCTCACCCTAATTTTTTAGCGAAGTTGATATATTGGGATCATGCGATCAATCGGTTCGACCGTACAGAAGTACACTTTTTCTCCCTTGACTTAACTCCAATATTATAGATAAGTTTTCTATTCTCTTGTGGATGCACATAGTTATTTTTTTTGGAGCAAAAACCATGGATTCTCTTTTTCTTCTTGTGATTGAAGGTGAGAGTAAATCTCATTGACTGTGTGTGATAACTGCTCCTCTCATTTCTAATATGAGTACGAAATCTGATATTATTTTAAGTTGATAGTTAAAAACAACCAATTAGTCAAATGTGATGTGTTTTTTAATATTTTATGTGTTTCTAGAAGTAAGATATAAAGTGTATATTGATTGAAGATTACGGGATAATAAATTAATTTTGAATGCGATTAAATTTTGTTGGAAAATCTTGTTTAAATCTAATGCATTAGATAAAAAGCTTAATTGTATATTTTCGTCAAGAGAATACAACGAATTCTAACATTTCTAAAGTTTTTTATTTACAAAAATGATCAGATCTTAATAAATTAATAGTAAGATAGTTCTATACTGATAAGGTACTTTCATTTAATTGTATTTCGAGAATAGGAGAAAAAATTGATGATTATTAATGAGATCTTTATTTACAAGGTGATCATCTGTATTAAAAAGATTTTTGTTTTTCTCTAAACTACATATGAGCCTACTACCTTTGTTTCTTTTTCCATATATTTATCTATGACCTATGCTTAGAAAAGAATATGTCAGCTGAATGAAATAGAATCGTAAATAAGTGATTATTTCTTGTTTATTTCTTATATTTTATGAATATTCTGTTAGTCCTGTGGAGAAGAATAAAGATACGTATGAAAAAAGTCTTGTCATTGAAATGATGATAAAAGAAAGTACATTGAAACAAATGAGAAAATGTGTATTATAGGTGACAAGTCCTTATACATCTTCGTTCTCAACAGTATTGATATTTGTGGAAAAGCTTTTGGAACGTCGACGAATATTAATAGTTGCGGTGATGGATTGAAATATTTCTGGACAACATTCGTATTTCTCTTCGAAATTCTTTGTAGAAGTATCTAAAGCAGGAAGAAAGAAATGAAGTATTAGAAAGTGAAATAGTTTACCTATGATGAGCCATTCGTCATTGGTCATATATGAAGTGAGATCAATCAAGCTGACTGGTGTTCTCAGATTGATTTCTAAATAATAATTGGAGATACTATGCAGAAGATCTTTAATGAAATTAAAATATCGATGAAAACAATCGAAAAGCGACAAGTTTCAAGTAGTTCTGACTCCTCCCGATGATCTTCCTTTTGCGTTTTGTCTTATACGGAACTAAATAAAATATGCTTTGATACATACTAGATTTATCATATGTCCATGATCCAAATTTCAACGCACAGCGTTGTGTATCCAATAAAATAGAAACATTAATGATAAATAAAATCAAAATGAGGCGGTTTTTCTCTGGTAAGAAATACTTACAACTGCAGACGATGTTATACTGAAGTTGCAAGTTGATTTGAATATTCTCTGTGGAACATAGAGAATCTTTCCAGTATTTCGAATAACAACATTAGTTTTCATCTGATTGTCGTAATTTTGATCGACACTGTGCAAAAAGAAATCTTTATTTCAAATAGATATTTTTCGAGATCTACTTGTTGTATAGAACAACATCCGGCAACCAAATTTTTGTGCTCGGGACCGATATCGTTGTGATGTTACCATAATCCTCCGGTATCCATGTCATACTGTAATCCTGCCATGTCTGTGCAAATACGTATGTGAAAAAATAGCAAAACTTG